GGGCGCCCACACACGCCCTTAATTAACCAAAAAAAATTACGCCTTTATTAATAACAAATTAATTATTAAACAAAAATATTAAATATAAACTAAGCAAACGTGCATTGCACGTTGCTTGCACCTAGTATATATATATAGCTCTAAAATAATGCCAACAATGTATTTTTACCCTCCCCCATTTGAATATGCATATGACCGTAGAATTTTCTAGAGAAAGTTAAGAAAACATAAATTGTCGTTTATTAGTATTTTTTTTATATCCATACATGTCACTTGAGTTTTTCCTTGTCAACTTGATTATAAAAAGTGGCTATTATTTAAGAAGGTAATAAAGTGCAATTGCCTCTTTAAGTGGTATACCTTGTTTGCGAACTAACTGTGGGTGCCTTCACTATTGACGTAGTCATCTTAAAGCTAAAACTATGTGAGTAGATGCACGATCAGATGCTCGAGAAAAGGCACATGAATGCATAACCATGTTGCATGGCTTTATGTACCCTTATCACCTATGCGCGTTGCATGCAATTGAAATCTATTGGAGATGCGCCTACTAGTCATGATATTCATTGCAAGGTTGACCGTGTGGAAAAATTGATGGTGCTTATGGGGTAATTGCTCTTTCCCATTGAACTTTCATCGAATATTTGCCTAGAGTACATTTCATTTGGTCTATGTCTACAAGGGACAAACAACTCGGAGAGTGGGCAATGCTCAAATGAGAATCCATGGGTATTGAACCATGTTTCATGTGTTGTGCTTACAAGGCACAACATTTATGGCAATATATTGTTGCAATCACGTGTTGCATTAAAAGTTTGTGTAAGTATAGATTGACAACGAACAACAATATGGGCTACACTATCCTCATGCTGTAACTCGTTGGAATACTAACTGAATACAAAGTTGAGCCCTGCTACATGGTGGCCATCCAGGGGCACCACCTGGCCATATATCTTTTCCCATACGAGGTTGCACTAGTGGATTTAGGGGCAACCCTATTCTGTTTTTGAGGCGTAAATTTTTATTTTTCTTTGTGTAAAATTTCTTTTTATGTGAAAATTTCATTTTTTTTATGTATTAGCCCGATTTTTTTTTTAAAAAAAATTAATTCGATTCTGGATCCGTCCTTGCGAAGTTGTGGTTGTTGGAAATTAGTAGGGCCCATAAAAGGAGTGCTACATCTAAAAGTTTCTCGAAAGATACTTTGACACCCATTTTCTCAAAATTCATTTTCAATCACATTCTTTCATAACATAATATTATACGTAAATCTATTTTTTTTTAATCACACATTCTCCAAAAAATCGCTATTTCAAAACTCATTTCCTCCCAAATTTCCATTAAAATGGATCCAAACAAGGGCTAAATCATGGTTACAGCTACTTGTATCAATCCACTGCAAATCAATTTTCAAGTTGATGGAACTATTGAGCCAATGAACCAGGATATTCTAATACTGTGTCCTGGCTCAACCAAGCACTAGAGAGGGGAAAAAAAAGAGAGGAAAAAACTCAGCAGATTTCATTTTCCCAAATGAAATTCTAAACCCTGGCCAGAGAGAATTTATAGTTTGAAAAAGAATTCTCATTTTTATGAGGATTTTGCTCTTCTTAAAACGGTCAACTAATTCTCGTATGAATAATTTACCCAGTAAAACTTTTAAGGATGTCCAAGACAAATTTCTCGAAAAAAATGTAAAAATGAAAACAGATTAGGGAATCAGTTTCAATGTTATATTTGAGTTTGGTGCTTTCATATTGGAAAGACTACGAAATATGGATGTGATTATGAATTATCTAAATCAAGATAGTTCTTTTTCAATAAGAAATATGCAATGGGATTAAATTAATCTTTAGTTAACAGTCACAGTTGGATTAACATGGAAAGATGGATCCTAAAGTCGAAGATCTTCTTTGGAATTTGCCGAAGACTATTGATTCGATAAGGCTCTTAAATGCCGGATTATTATAATAAATGTACTATAATCATTGTAGTCTTCTTCGAAGATGGCCGTTCTTTAAGTGTTAGACGTACAGTAACAACAATGTGAGTTTGTCGCGACGGAAAGGAGAGATTGACGATGTTTAAGTTATTATTGGTTTCGGGTCGGGTCTGGTTATTGTTTGGGAGCTAGATTTCGAGGGAATGGAAGTGACAAACTGTGACCATTAAAGAAAATGGTTGCGAATGGTGATGGTTGGTGCCAGGACGGCCATGATGGTGCTAGACTTTTAAGGTGCCTAAATTCTCTGTTCATTTTCCCCTCGAACGGGAATCAAGTTCTTTGAACGGGTTCAAAATCAAACCCTTTTTTTTTTTTTCCAAATTCATGCATTATTTTCCAAATGGAGTATTTTTTAGCTTTTAAAAGAAAGGCAGTATAGTTGTAAAAATTGACAATGAATTAAAACAATGATTTGTATTAAAAGTTGCTTCCAATTAACAATGATAAAGCAAAATGTTAAATTTTTTATTTTTTTTTTCGTGAAGTTAAAAAAGTTCAAATAGTCAATTGGAGTGGCCAGCCATCGCAACTGACTGGAACTTATGAGAGCTAATTTATTCATGACATAATAATTCAATGAATAACATGAAATTTATTCTCACAAACAAAAATCAAAACCCCTCAAAATGTCTATCACAAGTTGTAATTTATGTACACCATCGATTTTAAATCTCCTAGAGTTATCGACTCCAGAGAAAATACGATAAGTTATTGTAGATGTGTGATAAAAATTTCATATCGACTACACATGGAATCCGGAATTTATACTTTAACAATTTGTTTTACGAGTCGAGTTGGAATATTATTGGACTCGTACAGTGTTCTTGATAGGGATTTCAAGATATAATTAATTTTGGTACTCATAAATGATGAAGTGACAAAGTATTCAGCAAAACTTAAATAAGATTAATACTCAAAAGAATACATATATTAATTGGAAACATAGTGCACTT